CATTCACTACATGCATATATAAGCATTATATTCTATATAGAGCATCAAGATTCAAATCTATAAACACCCAACCTGGAACTTTTCCACTAAACACATAACTGTTTCCCTAAAAACAGTTGATGGCCCATGACTGGATTCATCAATCAATATTTTCCCTTTTATGTGAACAATGGAGTTAGATACAGGTTGTTGTCAGCGCTCACCCTCAAAGGAGAGATTGTACATAACCAGTAACTCCAGGCGTGGCTAGCCACCAGGATATTCTGGGAAGCACTTTTTTCAAAAGTATTTCCTAGACCTTACTCCAGGTTTACTGAATGAGAATTTCTTTGTGGGCACAGGAATCTCCATAACTACAAAGCTCTTCTCAAGGCAATTTTTACAGTCATCCAGTTAGGGGTCCACTGGCTCTTACGACTAAAGTAACCAAAAACTCCACTACCACTTGAAATGAAATACATTATATTCTTTCCAAGTTCTGAAACATCCTTCCTTTCACTTCCTTTTCATATACACTTGTTAGACAGAATGTGGGGCAGATACTTCATCCTTTTCAGGTGAAGTAGAAATTAAGTTGAATGAGAGAAGGAAATAAAATAGCCTCTATCACCTTCTTAAGTAAAAATGTAACACTTAACCAAGACAAAACAGTACTAAGGGTATTAGTGTCACCTACTAGATGTCCCTACCTTCTACTCTTTTCTCTGGGATTATTCCACTATCTGGGTGAATAGCGTTAGGGGATGAAGTGTGTCCTCACAAAATTCATATGCAACATCCTTACCCTCAGTATCTCAGAATGTGACCTTACTTGGACTAGAGTTGTACCAAATGCAATTAGTTAAGAAGGAGGTCCTATGGAAATAGAACAGACCCCTAAGCAAGTATGAGGGTGTGCTTTTAAAAAGGGGAAATTTGGAGCCAGACACACAAGGAGAATGCCATGTGAAGATGAAGGCACTGCTCAGGATGACCCTATAAGCAAAGAAATGCCAAAGATGAAACCACCAGAAATTCTAAGGATTGGAACAGGTCATCCTCACAACCTCAGAGGAACTAATCTTGCTAATAATTTGATCTCAGATTTCTGGCCTTCAGAACTGTGAAGCAATAAGTTTCTGTTATTTAAACTACCCAGTAGCCCAAACTACCCCTTTGTGACAATAGTGTCAGAAAACTAACACACAGGAAATTTCCCACCAGAGGATCAGATTTCAAGTTACCATTTATTTTGGAGATGGATAGTATCAATAAATAAGTTTTCTTGTCAGCAGATTTCTGAAAGGCAGCTGTAGAAGTCACAACATTTAGCAGTTGCTAGATACTGCTATAATGAATTAACTCAAAAAAATAACTCACCCTGTCCAAACTAATTTTTTTTTTTGGTGTTCTAGAAAAAAATACTAGAAAAAACAAAAACCAAACAAAACCTCAAAGAGAAAAAAAATCATCATACGTCCTACCAGTAGCCTTTTTCTTCCTATTATTTAGTAGACACCCATTGATCTGAATGTCTCTAATTGTGATCAAGAAGTCACACTGTGTCGTTAACCAACTAGATGTCAAGTTCTTTCCCCTCCCAATCTTGCACTCCAGGCTTCTGGAATAATGAGTTCCCCATGTTTTCCCATCTCCTAATCTGAGGTGTAGAAATAGCCTCCTCTCAACTGTCTGATAAACATCAGATTATGGGTCCCAAAGTCCAAGAAGATATTGCAAGAGAAAAACATTTTACCTTAATATGCAAATTATTTAATAAAATACATTGAGCCTAACATACCTTGAGTTTCCAATTTAAAATACTAGTTAAGTGCATGAGGAATCTTGAGGCACTTATCAAGTTCTATCTCTCTCTCCATCTCCCGCTCCCTCTCGCTCTCCCTCTCCCGTGCCCTCTCAGTTGGATCCATATAGAATCCTTGTAACTTCACAGTCATTGTTTTGGTTGATAACTCCTTTGGGCTGGTTTCTACTCACATAATAGGCATGCTTCCCAATGCTTAATAAAACATTGTAAAACCAGCTTTTTAAGCAGATCTTAATCATTCACATTACATGATCTATTTGGGGCCATAGCTCGTGTTTGGTTTTTATGATTCAAAGGCAAGTAATGTAACCAATTAAAAACATCTAAAAGTACACAAAGATTATGTCAATATAACTAATATCTAGCCAATTGTGTAATAGTTCCAAATATCTGAATAGCTGGCAACATGTCAACCAACTACACATGTGTATCTCTCTGTTTGACGTATAGTCATGCTGTATTTCAAAGGAACCCAACATGAATTGTTTTTAAAGAATCAAACATGAATTAAAACAAAAATACAGTCTATCCAATTCAATATTTGATCTCAAATTGCAACACAGTGGCATGGAGCATATAAAAGCCTCAGATCTGAAGTCGCTCCCATAACACTACTTCATCCCAAAGTTCACTGAAGGTATTTCATACTTTAGGCTTATTTGTGCCATGACAGTCCAAGCCTTATTCCAGAGAATATGTAGAGGAAAAAACCAAAGAAATAATTTGGAATCAATCCATAGATTTATCATACAGTCCACTGAACAAAGTAAAACTTTCCCATGGAGAAATGTAGGGCATGTGTATACAGTGCAGACAAATCAAACAGAATTACTTTTTTGTGTGTGCTGACTGATTCACTTCTTCTTATCTACAAAGCTACAGGACGGCAATAGAGAAATTCCTGTTGTGCAATATTGTTCAAACGGTTGTATCAGTGGAAATGTGACCAAACACTTTGGTGCTAGTTTAATTTGTGATCTGGACGTATTCCTTAAAACTACAAGTATACACAAGCATGATCTTTCGGATCCAATACATGCTCAACTTCAACCCACTTTGCTTGTACTCTCCTCTCTTGACCTATGGCCTTCCAACAAAAGAAAAACAAATCATCACTGTGGATCTTTCATGAACCGGGGTCTTTTCTATGTTCTAGAATTGTAATAGGGATGGAAACAAAATGATCACTTCTCCATAGAGTTTATAGTCTCATGTAGGACCACTGTGATTAGATAGATAAAAGTGGAATGTTGCGCCAGGGGACAGTCTTTGGCACAGTGACTTTTCCAGGGTGGAGTTGTCACTGGCAGGTAGCAGCCTCTTTTGCAAGAGCTGTGTCCATGTGAATAACTCTAACCAGTGTAATGGGAGCAGAAGTGATCTGTGCAGCATCCAAGGTAGCATTTGTAAGACCTGGTGAGCCTTCTCTACTTGTGATCCTTCCCCTGCCAGATACAGAGGCTCTGAAGTCTTAAAGTTCAAGATGTAAACATCTTAGGTGAAGGAAAACCACCAATCAACTAGGAATGCTAGCCTTAAGCAGTTAAGAGAGCATGTAATAAAAGTGAAATGTGTTTAAATGCAGGAATATGGGGGCTAAGAAATATAATATTCACCTTTAACAGAACTGGTATATTATATCAAGTGGCCATAAGTGCTATTGAGAAAAATAGTACATAAATGGGAATGAGGAATGCAACAGGAGGGGCAAGTTGAAAGGAGGAATCAAGAAAAACCTTTCTAATCAAGTGACATGAACAGAAACTGGATGGAAATGAGTATGGAGGTCAAGTAACGTTCCCAGGAGAAACTCTGTAGAAAGAAAGAATGAGATCGAAGTCCTGAAAAAGGAACATATCTGCTATGTTTAAGGCAAATCAAGGGGTCCAGGCTGCCCACATGAAGTGAACAATGAGGTGAAAGGAGAAGAGGTCAGAGAACAAACAGCAGGTCCCATTACAAAGGGTCTTGTATGTCATTGTAAGGTTTGTGTGTTATCCTGAATGCGATAGAGTGGTGCTGGAGATTTTGAGTAGAGGAGCAACAAAATATTATTTACATTATAAGCAGATTGTTTTGACTGTTGAGTTGAAACTATGCTGTTAGGGGATGGAATGTAAAAGTGGGAAGAGTTGGGAATCTATTGCATTAATCCAGGTGAGAGGCACTGGTGACTTGGACCGGAGTGATAGGGGTGAAGGTGACAAAAAAAAGGTCAGATTCTAGGAATTTTTTGAGTGAGCAGTAAATCATAATGGTTATGTAGGAGTGGGTGATGAATTCAAGGTGAATTGTGGGAACAAATGAAAAGCAAATTTGAAGGTAACAATCAGAAGTTCTAATTTTGAGATTCCTCTTAATGATCAAGATGGAAATACCAGGCAGGCAGATTTTTGAGCCTGAAGTTCAGTGGAGAAATCCAAGCTGGAGAAAAGGAAAAAGAAAAGGAAAGGAAATACCTAAATCCATGAGACCAAGTAAGAATACCTAAGAAATGAACATAAGTGGAAATAAGAAGCATCCAGAGGTCAAGTCCTGAGGCTTTCCACCATTTGGAGGCTGGTGAGAAGAGGAATTTGGAACAGAGGAGAAGCATGAACAGAAGGAGAAACACTGGGAGAACTTGTGTTCCACAATGATCGAAAGAACATATTTCAGGGAGAGATGACCATTTACATCAAATTTTATTAGTAATTAAGATGAAGTCTGAAGCTTCTATGACCCGCTGTGGAATTTAGTAACATGCAGGCCTTGTTTGGTGAAGAGAAAAGAAATTTCAGGGAGGTGACTGGGGAAAACAACTGACCAGAATGCACTTGAAGAATGGAAATAAGAGGAATTTAGAATCAATGAGAAAAAAGGCATCTTCAGAGAAGTTTCACTGTGCAGGGGAACAGAGGAAAAGGTAGCCTCTAAGGATGTGGGTCCAAGAGACAGCAACTTTGTAAAATGGGGCATATTATGATGATATATTTCATGTGGATGTAAATGATTCTGTAGAGGGAAAAGTTACTGATGGAGGGAAGAGAAGAACAGTTGGAGCCATGCCCTCAAACAGAGGGAATGCAGTGTGCTCAGGCAAAGGAGCTGCTTTTGACAGGAGCAGGGACTGCTCACCCCAGCAGTAGGAGAGAAGATGGACTGGGCTCAGAAGCGTGCTGTGCAGAGGTGCAGCGTGGAAGCATGCAGAAGTCACCTCTGCCGGCTTCTATTTTCTCACTGAAACAAGAGCTGAAGTTGCCACCTGAGAGGGAGGATACAGGTTGTTTAGAGAAGAGAGTAAAGGGTGTAAAATGGTCTAGGATAATAGAGGAATTACCAAACCAAGTGTCAGAGGGTGGCCTGGCCGCAATGCAAGCCCTCTGCAAGAGTTCAGTGTTTCATATAGCAGCAAAGCAGGTGGACATGTGTTTAGCTCCAGTCAACAGCAACTACTGAAGCATAAGGTGGAACATGCAGAGCTGGAGCACATGAGGGCAAAGAATCATTCAATCTTGAAGACACAGTTAGAGAAAGTGGGGGAAATTGAGGGTGTATATCAGAAAACAATATTTAAGATGGTTCATGGTATTGAGCTTGAGCAACTGGGGTCACAAAAAGAGTGAGTCATGCTGAAGGGTTGGATGGGCTCCCAGCCTTCATGTAATCAAAGAGTTATCGAAGTCAAGGTCTTGACTCTGTATGGAACTCACATGGTGACAAAGTTTCTGGTCAAGTGCCACTTCTTCCGTTGTTAAAATTGTGTCAACATTTTCACTCTTAATACAATTATGTTTCATCCTCTGGGTTAAGATTAAGAAGCTCATGAAGATGAATGGCCTGCTATCTTGGATATATTGGTCAAAAGTCATGAAATTGCCCTGCAATAGGATGAGAAAAACTGCCAATGTTAGAAAAAAAAAAAAAATCAAAGTCCAGAAGGCAATAATCTAGAAACACCTAGTCTGGGCTGGAAGGAAAGAGGATTGAGAATAGGAGGCCAGATCATACTGGTTATCACTCCCCAAAGTTCACAACATTTCAAGTTTACTTTGAAATTTGCTCATGCTACACCTTTCCTTAGAATAATTTGCAATGTCCTCTTTGGCTCTCTTCCCCCCCCATGCCTCAGATAAGATGCCACCCCCTCATGCACCTTGCCTGAATCCTCCAAGTCAAATGTAATTGCTCTGTCTCCTGGGCTCACAGCCTGTGCTCTACTCACCTTTAGTATAAAGTTCATCATGTTGTGTCATCATCCACTCACAGATTGGATTCCCACAGTTCGTGATCCTAGAAACTATGAGACAATATTTTAGTTCAGTTCCACATTCCCACACATGGCCCAAAGGCCGCTTCTCACCCACTCATCCCAGCCTGTCTCCCAGGGCTGTGGCTGCTCCTGCCCTACGCTAACCCATTTTTCAGACTCCAGTCAAGGTGATCACCATAAAAGGGAAAATTAGGTCATGTTACACCCCTGCTTATAACCCTTAGTAGACTTTCCAATTGCCCTTACAATAAAGAACACGTTCTTTCTGTGGGATCTGTGACCTTGCATGTTCAGCTTCCAGTTGCCTCCCTTACTTGCTGCACTGCTCACTGGTCTCCATCTGTTCTTTTCCTAGAGCTTCTGAAGTGCCATGTTTCTATCCAAAAGCAGAACCACCTCAAGGGCACGTCCTTCTATCTGGCACTCTTCCTACCTACCCTTGGATATCAGGTCATGTGCCATCTTCCCAGAATGCTTTTCCTGACCCCAAGCTAGACAAGAATGTCCTACTACACACTAACAAGGCACCTTTTCCTCCTCTCAGGCCCTCAGTAGCATGTGTAATTATGTGGTCATGTGTGTATTTGGATTCATGCTTCCTCTCCTGCAAGTGTGAAATGCTCATGAGGAAATGGCTTTGCTCTTGGCTGTATTCCCAGCACCCACCACAGTATCCAGCTCATAAAGTATATCAAAAATATTTCCCTACTGAATGAGTATACTCAGTGAGCAAATAGATTGCTTCTATCATCTTTATTTACTATTTACCAATTTATTCTCCAAATACTTACATTTCCTGTGCTAAAAGAGAACACAAATACACATGCGTGCATGCACATGCACACACACACACATGCCTTAATGAGTTTTCAAATATCTTTAAAAATATTTAACCCAACTGGACAGATTATAGCTTTAACTCACAAGCCAGAGCTAATTATTAATATGAAAATGATATATATGTGGCTAAACCAAGCACTATTCCGTTTTGAATGAGTTCCCAGGAAATCTTGCAGTACTATGTATTTCAGAGCACACCTCAGGGCTAGAATCAATGCTCACTGGAGTTCTGTCACATGAAAGATGGCCAGTAGCATAAAACGCAAGTATATTTGGCTGGGGGGGGGGGCGGTGAATTCAACTGAGTCATTTGCTAAGTCAGTCCCATAGATCGAGAGTGGATCCCCAGTGCTTAGTTTCCATATCTCAATGGAATTTTTTAGCATATAAGCACTAGTGGAAAAAATAGTCCCTTTAAAGAAGACACACATTTACTCAACTTCTCTTAAAAACTGGAAATAATAAGTATATATAAATCTACAAAACTGGACATAATAATGGGCATATGTAATAATGTTTTGATATATTTCTCTTCTTTTAGTTGATTTTCAATTAAGAAAAACAATGAGAATAAGAGAATCTCTTAAATATTTTCCTTTTATTAAAAAAAATTTCATGGGAACTGCTTTAAAGAAATGTTTTAAATTTTATAATAGAAATTTTTAAACAAGAGTAAAAATAATCTAATAAATGATTTTTACCTACCACCAAGCTTTAATAACAGCCAATATTTTGCCAGTACTGTGGCCTCTGAGGAAACTTAAAAGGGCAAAGTACTGATGAAGTTCAAGGACTTGTTCAGCAGAGGTACCCACAACGATCTCACCATTGTCCGCTCTCTCTTCCACCAGCACTTCTTTAGCCCACCCGGCAATTACAGCTTTCTGTAAAACAGGATGGAATATACTTTGTACCATCACCATTGCAAAGAGAGGAGGATTTCTCACCTGCCTAGTTAGAACAGTACTATTTCTCGGGACACGATTCATATCAGAAGCATCTTGAGATGACTCTGACATGAATAGATTCAAGATCATTTTTAGAAATTGACATATTATTCAGAGTTGGATAGAGACACACATACTCATGATTCATCACGTCCCTTTGCACAAGCTGCTCCATGAATCCATGCTAGATGTAGTTCATTTGCAGCTGTTAAAATTTACAATCACAATTTTTTTTATGAATCTCTGTTTGAACTGATGTTAGTAAAGTTACTTGTTTTTATGTTCAAGGGATAATCCAATGATTTTTATACTTTGTCATGTATTTTAGAAATCATGCTCTGTCATATATTTAAAATTACTCTGAACATCAGCAAATGTCTGGATTTTTCAATAGCTTTTGGTCAAGAATATTAAAAATTAACTTCACTAAAGATAGAAATGACTATTTGAAGTACCCTACATTAAAGTGACTTGAGAAATAGATTTTCTGCATTGTTCCAAGGGAGAAGATAGGCTATTGGGGCTCATCTTGAACTTGGTCCAATAAGCTTGATAAAATTAGTTACTCTGCCCTGACCTTGGAGTCCACAGCCACCAATGGCTGAACTTTCTGCCCTGCACTCTGTTCCCTAATGACCAAGCTGGCTGGCAGGCATCCAACCCCTCAGCTGTTAAAAGCTAGAGGTTGGACCTATGACCCTCTTGGCTCCCTACTGCCTCATTTTGATTGAATACTTGTATAGAGATAATTTGCATGATTCCCACTTACATACTCCCTGATTGAAGCCACCTATGAACCCTATTTTTAAGATCTTGGTGTCCTTACCCATTAAAAAATGCTAATCCACTTTCTTAAGTTGCTGTCCAAAATTTTTCTTGTTTAAATCCCTACCATTACACACAACTGAGTCTTTGTCATCTCTTGAAGGCTCCTCAGAGTTTGTACACAAGCACTTTAATTTCAGGCAACATGGAGCTCAGGATATCATACATCCCGGTAAGAAGCCTTCAAACTTATGTTCATTTGTTCTTTCAATTCATGGTAATGCGTTCAAGGGAGTTGAATCCATTGTTGACCCCCACCCATATTTATAGCCCTGCAAAGAAAGGGAAAGGAGACTCAGACACAGAAAGGTGATACCTACATAGGTGTCAGCTCTTCTCCACCGGACTTTCCATTAGTGACTGGCCAGTGGTGGTGAACCTATGGCACACATGCTGCAGTGGGCTGTTGGTATCACTGAAAGCTCTAAAAGCTTTGCCATCCCTAGACTAGGCCATCACCCTTCCCTTGGTCCCCAGCTCCATATACTTCCTGTGGTCTTCTGGGTGAATCTGGGGCAACCTTGGTTAGTCCTGGAAAGTTAACCTCTCAAGTTTTCATGCATTTCTTGCATTTATGAAGCAAGCAAGTATGAAGCTCAGAAATGACACTGACGTGGCACGTGTTCCCTGCCAGCATCCCCCAAGGATGTCATAAACTGACCTTTCAGTCTCTCTTCCCAGAAGTGAAGCATCTGCTGAGCGCTAGTGGACTCAGAAACTTTCTCTATCTCCCTGACCTTAGCAAGCAAACACACATTTTTCCAGCACACACAGAGCAGTCTTGTTGTGATCGATGCTACAGCTGGCACAGAATACCCTGTGTGTTTCACAGTGAGGTGTCTTCCTGACAGTAACCAAGGTCCCAGTGGGACTGCAGTGCCAAGGAAAATTGAGGACAGAGTCTGAGAAGCACCATTCTTTATCTTCTTTGCTGGCAGGTGCCCAGCCTTAGATGCTGAAAGACTGAGGTGGTGCCTCAGCCCCAGGACTCTCCTAGCTTCTGAGGGCCTCCTTTTGATTAAAGACAGTTGCAAAGATGACCTGTACTGACTTCTACTTAGACACACCTGACTTGAGCATGTGGAATTTGGGCCTACACCAGCCACAAAGCCTTCTCCTCTTTTCTGGTCTGACTTTCTTCCAACCATAGCAGCAATTTGTCCCAGATACTCCACATAGTCCCTGTTGAAGGAGGGAATCAAGTAACAAGGCAAGGTTTCCAGGCCTCCAGAGCTCCAGTTGAAACAGTCGCTGTCACCTTCAAAGCTAAACTTGCATATTTAAGAAAAGCATTGCCAAGGACATACAGATTTCCTGGATCATTTTAAATTACTAAGGGAAAGCCAATTGTTAAAGAAAATGACAAAATATCCACAATGACTATGAAATCTTTTCATCCCCTACTCTTTAGGTAATTTGTTCTGATTGCAACTATTTCAAAGGACAAGATTACACACCAGGGAAGCCAAAAGACTTTTTGAAAGGAAAATTTGTTCCCTGCTGAGCCCCTATTGGAGCTCAGTCCTGTGTTTGGAAGCAAAGGCAAATTTTTTTTCAGCATTAATGAAACCTTGTTAACTGTGAACACTGGAGCTGAACTGATCTACTGAGAGTATTTGCTGGGTCACGGGGGTGGGAGGATTAGGAGTTACTGGCACATTCACAGATCACTGTCATTCGCATTTTTCTCCTTAAAGCAAGAGAACTTAAATATTTACTACAAAACTGTCACAATTAGGATATAGAAAAAAAAAGTGGAAGAACAAAATTGAAGTCCATCAACCTTTTTCAGATGGAAAAAGACATGACACACCTTTGTAAGAAATAGACTAAAATATTTGTGTTTTCAAGTTTTGTTTCTTTTCCTTCTATTTTGCAAATTCTCTTTAGCAATCGGCCCTCCTGAGATAACGTTTTAATGGTGTCGCATAGGTTAAGGGTGTGCTTTCTTTGTTTATGAAGAATGAATAGCTGTTACAGCTACGCAAGATGCAGCAGACACATGACCTTCCAGTCTCAACAGGAAGAGCATCGAGCTGTTCTCTGTGCTGCACTTATCAAGGCTCCACTAATGGCCAGTACTTGGCAGAGCCAGGAACAAAATGCTTCTACCTGTTCGGGGAGAAGAATGAACGCAATGACTGAGTTGGCTCCACCACTGTATTCTTGCCGTGGAGTTTAATTTCCATATAACTAAAAACATCTGAAGCAAACACAGAGCAAAGCTCTCTTTATAGATGAGTGCTTCCTGTCACCACAGGAAGTAAGAAAATAGCTCACACACAACAGCTAGGAGTCGATGTCATTCAGTGATGCAGTGATTCAGGGAGATTTCAGCCAGCGTCAGAACTCATACATCAGCACCATTACCCACGTGAGAGAATATAAAGCAGAGCTGACCTGGACCCAAGGACTTCGTTCTAAAACTATAGAGCCTAAAAAGAGGAGTGACAAAGAAAGGAATGAACATTTTCCCTGGAGAAGTTTGTGCTTAGATATTAGTGTTGACCTGTCTATATAACCTCTAAGATTCTTTCTAGCTCTACAATTCACTGAGAACATAAACAAGATTTTACCTGGGAAACGTGTAGGCCCAGAAAGCATAACAGTGTACACAGGTGTCCCATTGTTCATTTGATTATTGCCCCATATGTTTTGTGGAGTCTAATCATCTAAATGAAATTTGGTTAAAGAAAAATCGGCCCTTGTGTACACAAGGAATATGCTTATATAAGAGGCATGCAGTATTTCAAATGTTTTAACTTTCTTTTTTAAACTATCAAAAGATAATTGGAAAGGTTTCAGAAATCATCACATCCAAGATTCTTTAGTCTACAAATGAGGAATCCCAGGGAGTCTCAGAGGTCTGTTCCTTCCAGCGAGGGACAGAGAAGGAAGAGAGAGATCCCAGCCCCTGACAGCACTCTTGCCATCATGGTTTGGAGCCTCTAGGGTAATAGGTCTCATCTCCAGATGAGGAAACAGCATCATCTAGTGGCTATTTATTAGTTTTCTATTCATGTCATGATTCAACTCCATATACTACAGGGGGATAAAAAACATTTCACTCACCTTCTCAGTAATCCCTAATTTCCCAAAACAGCATTTCTTAATTCAAGTTTTCAGCAAAGTAACACTCTTAACCATGACTTCAGCTTTTCTTTACCAATTGGTGTGCCAAATCAGTTTCATCTTTTCTTATGCACATCTAGATTACCCTTTCAGTCAACCATGTTGATATACCTGTTCTCCTATCACCGTGTCAGGACACTTGGGCTGCCTTTTAAATAAATTGTAAACATTGCTCAGGACAGTCATGTGGACAAATTTCAGTCAAGCATATCTATTCATTCATCTTTAATGCTCTCAGACACTTGCCAATCTTATTATGTTTAGGGAGGAGCTAGACACATTCCTCCACCCTCAAGACCATACTTTTGGAGGTAGAGAACAAAATATGTAAACAAATAAGTGTCCCATGAGACAAATGTTCTGCTGTAAGACAGCACAAAGGAAAGGAGACAATTCATCCTGCTGAGAGTACAGAACACTGCACAGAAGTGGCCTTTGGTTTATAAGAAGTGGGCAGGGCGTGCTGGGCAGTGGAGGGAGGGGAGGCGACAGCAGGAACAAAGGTTCAGAGTCAGGATGGTTCACTGAGAAATGAAGAATCAAGAATCTCAAAAGGAGAAAGGTGAGAAGTGAAGTGGAAAGGTGACTTTGACCTCAAATAGAAAGATATTTAGATGTCATCCTGGAGCACTTGGCCTTTGTATGCAATCAGATTTCATCAAATTATAAGCCACGGCAAAAAGAATATGAGATCTTTAGGAAAGAAGTTCCTACCATTGAGAATAGTCAATGATTATTTAACTGATCACTCATGTATAGCTCTACTTGTTTTCCCTAGAAACCACTTTGAAGAAACCAAAGTACAGTACAACAACCATTGATAGTTTCCTACCATTTTTGTTTGTAACTCACTATCATTTGTCTATTTGTTTTCCTGAGAAGCTATCTTGAAGATACCAATAGGTAAAACAACCACTGATAATGTCCTACCACTTTGCCTGTAATTCAGTAAATCCCCCTATTACCATGTTATCCTTCTTTTACTTTTTTAAATAAAAAAAAAGAAGTTCCTTTGTTCATTCCAGGCATTTTTGAAACTAATTTTATGACTATTTTCTTCATAGAATATTCACTTCACTTAGCAGCTAGTGAAACAGTCTTTGAAAATGAATTATTTTTCAGTGTCAGGGGAAAAACTTGAACTTCTTGGCTTCTACCCCACTTTTTTGTGGTAAAGAGTTGGAGAACATGAAGAATATTCTTAAGAGAATAAAATAGTTCTAAGCCAGAAATTTTCTAGGTTTCCTTCCAGTCTTGTTCTGGGATAAATTCTCTGAGACAAATTGACTAGTCAGAGTTGTTCTTTCTGATACTATCCCCAGCCAACACGGGCTGTTTCATAAGTGAGGCAATAATTTAATAGATATTCTATTTTAATGCTCTTCTACAAGAAATAATCAGAAATTTTTCAGACCAAACGAGGTGATAAAAAGAGAACAAAGCAAAAGTAAAGCACCAGAAGCTAAAGAAAATAGGGGCAAAAAAATCATTTGAAACATGAGTAAAGCATCTTTGTGTATAGATTTCTAGAAAATTCTCATTCTGTTGGCTTTGTGAAGACATCAGTCCTATTGGTACCAGATCATAAGCAGTTATCATTTGAAGATAATCATGATGGAACACTCCCTCAATCCCAGCATTCCAGGAGACAGGAGACTGAAGATAGTAACCTGGAGACCAGCCTGGACAACTTAGCAACTTAGCCAGATCTTGTCTTAAGGGTCAGGGGACGTGGCTCAGTGCAAAGGCCCTGGAGTACATCCTCAGTACTACAAAAACAACGTGTTTTAAATAAATTAAATAATAAATAGACAATAACAGCAACCAATGCTAACTAGCGGTTGGCATTTTTATAAGAACATTGCATATGAACTTGGTCAGTGTTTTCTATACCTGTACTGCTTACACAAGTAGCCTACTTACTTGCTAAAATCCTGACTCAAAAGACAATCTTAGCACTCCTGCTTTTATTTCTTTTATTAGCCACATGCATTCACGTGTCAAGTCCTATAAAATTCTGTTCCATTTTCCACGACTTGGTGATAGACCATCCTAGCTACGTGGCTGGGCTAACATTGTTCTCCAAATGATTTTAGAAATTTCTCATACAGCTAAAAGCTAATATCATGATACGATGCAT